TCTACATGAGTATGTAGCCTTTGTTATTCTACAGAGCCAGGCATTTACCTTTAGGAGGTTCACAGATCTAGCTAGGTAAAGCAAACCTAGTATCAACATGCTGAATCCAGCCCGTGTAAAATGGATAGGGGTTTGCAAGCAGATAAATTGATAAACAGTGCTCTAAAACCTTGGTGTAGCGATCACATTCCCTCAGCAGTAAGAGATCCCTGTGTCTTTTGTCTGCAGAAAGTTATATATCAACTTTGAAATCAAAAATCTGCAGAACTAAAATGCCAAGTATAACATCTCACTGGCAAACAGCATTTAAATAAATGGAAAATCGGGAGCTTTCAGAGATCCACAAGCATAATGCATACTAAACAACCTCATAGACTTCATGTGCTTTTGGAATTGGAGCATTGCTCATGTCAGACCGGGCGAGCCAAGGCAAAAAGCTGCTTTCTCCAACTGCACACCCAGGGATTTACACACCAGGCACCTCTGTTTCCTCATCTACAGAAACCACGGCAATGAGACAGATGACTCTCCACGCTGCCCTTCACCCCCTGGACCCACTCCCTGCACACATGGTTCTGGTGCAGGCATGAAGAAACACGTTCCCGACAGCCAGCTGGGACAGCACAGCCACGGGCTTACTGGCACCAGGGGAACAACGCTTCCTAGAACAGCGTGTGCTGCTGAGGGCACGGGGATGGGGAGAGCTGCATCACACCAGAGGACGACCCGTCTGCCAGCAGAATCCCTGTCTGCGGCACAGCCTGCTGGGAGAGAGGATCCTGGGGAAAGAGCTGCAGGCTGGTGCTGAGCCTCTAAACCACACTGGCAAAAAAAGTGGTTTAAAAAAGCTCTGTCGCTTTTTAAGCACAAACAAAGACTTTAGAAGCATGAGAACACTGAAAGCTAACTCCTTATCAGGTGCCACTCTTCAGAGGGCCAAAAATCCTTTCACCACTACACACACAAGTCCTAGCTGCTGTTAGTATTTGAAACTATAATGCCTGCAATACAGCTTAGAGAAAGGGGGAAAAAAGGAAGAGGCACATGCACTACACACACACACACACACACACACACACACACACACCAGCTGCTGAACTTCGCTGTGCTCATCCCTGAACGATGTATCATTTGCTGCTTACAGAACATACACTACAGGGCACTCTGAGTAAAAAACTATATGAATGTAACACCAGCCCATGCTTCTGGTTTTGCTTTGTTTTGTTTTTTTTTTTTTGGATAGTGGCATCTGTTGTCCTTTTCCTCCTTAGGTTTTGGTGAGGATCTTTTCCTTTTTATAATTTTTGAAACAAGCACAAAAACAAAGCAAGCTTTTTTTTTTTCTTTCTTTTCTTTTTTTTTTTTTCCAGTTCTGAGAAAGAGTTTTGCTGTTGCCAAAGAGATTAAACATTAACCAATGGCAACTGATGTTGTCTACCCGGACTTGTGCAAGGCCTTTGACATGGGCCCCCGCCACATCCTTATCTCTAAACGGGAGAGATTTGAAGGGTGGATTATTAGGTCAATAAGGAATTGGTTGGATGGCTGCAGCCAGAGGGCTGTCGTCAATGGCCCTATGCCCAGGTGGAGGCTGTCATGAGTGGCGTCCTTCAGGGCTCCATCTCGGGACCGCTGCTCTTCAACATCTTTATCAATGACATAAATGATGGGATCAAGCGCACCCTCAGCAAGTTTGCTGATGATCCCAAGCTGAGCGGTGCAGTTGATACAACAGACGGGAGGGACGCTACCCAAAGGGACCTCAGCAGGCTTGAAAAGCAGGTGTGTGAGAACTTAATGAGGTTCAATAACGCCAAAAGGTGCTGTACTTGGATCAAGGCAACCCCAGGTACGAGTATAGCCTGAGAGAAGAGCCAGGGAGAGGGACTGACCCACTCTACTCTGCTCCTGTGAGGACTCAGCTGGACTACTGTGTCCAGACCTGGGGCCCCCAGCAAGGAAGGATGTGGAGCTGTTGCAGCAGGTCCAGTGGAGGGCCACAGAGATCATCAGAGGGCTGGAGCACCTCTCTCATGAAGATAAGGTTGAGGGAGTTGGGTTTGTTTAGCTTGGAGAAGGGAAGGCTCCAGGGAGACCTCATAGCGGCTTTACAGTACTCAGAAAGAAGCCAACAAGCAGGAGAGAAACCAACTTTTTACATGGCCTGATAGTGACAGGGCAAGGGGAATGGCTTTAAACTAAAAGAGAGGAGATTTAGATTAGATGTTAGGATGTAAGCTTTTCTCACAGGGTGGTGAGGCACTGGCACTAGCTATGAGGAAAGGCTATGGATGCCTCATCTCTGGAGGTGCTTAAGGCCAGGTTGGGTGGGCCCTGGGCAGCCTGAGCTGGTGTGGGCAACTAGCCCACAGCAGGGAGGCTGGAATGAGATGATCATTAAGGTCCCCACCAACCTAAGCCATTCTATGATTCTACAAGTAACCATTTTCCTTGTCAACCTCTCTCTGTAAGCTAAAGCAGGGATACTTTTCCCTTAACCTGATGGGTAAGGCTGAAGAAGCAACAGTAGCACAACTTCATGTCACTTTTACAATAAACTACAACACAACTACAAATGACATTTCCAAACACTAAATATACCCATCCCCAGACCAGCCCAGAAAACAAACATGCCCATGCAAAGTATGAAACAGCTTAATGAAGTTTGCCTACTGGAACTTGCTGAGGCATCTCATCTTGGCAATACCCAAACCAGGGAGGTACTGAGAACTGGAACTGAGCAAGCACCTCTCCTGATGGGGGCCTCTTCCCCTAGCTGTGTGAATGCACAGCTGTGGAAAACCTGTGCTCACCTGCTCCCCATGAAGTGTTTTGCTGCAGCAAGACGCTGCATCTGAGAGGACACCTGCCCTAGCCAGTCCAGCCAGGGCTACGTGTGTCTTTGTGCTCTCATCATGGCCATAGCCAACTCCATCCAGCAACCTGAACTGCAGCACACAATACTGCAGGAAAAACACCTCCACGCTGTATGAACAGGATGAGAGCTCTCCCACTGTTTTGAGGCTCCGTGTTCTCATTCACCAGGCAGCAGAACTGCCCCAAGACCCTGCCAACCTATGTTTGCAGCAGACCTCAGGAGGAGCAGCACGTTAGCAAAGCCACCATGAGATCAGGGGATGTTTCATCTTTCAGCTGATAGGTGAAGTAACACAAGACAATGTTTCAGCCCTTCTTCACCTGCATCAGCTGCCTGGAATGCAGTATCACCAATACTGGCATCTGCCTGTATTGGCAGGACCCGCAGAACAAACACATTATGAAATGTGCCTGAAGATCTGGCCCAGAAAGCTGTGAAACGACACAGAGCAAAAACCAAGCTGCATCTTCCTCAGGGAAAAGCCTTAGCACCACTCCCTTCAGAAGAAACTGTTTTGCTGCACTATTTTAAACACAGACGTAGCTACATGGTGTTTGTACACAGCATTTCCTTCCTTTTTTACTGATATGAGGGCCCAGCACTATTCCCTGACTCTTATGGAGTTAGAAGTTGAGATGTGGCTGTTGGGGGCCTTACCATTGTCCCCAGCTCTGGAGAAGAGCCAGCAGGGACAGCAGCATGACACTGACTGCGCAGTGCTCTGGCTGTGCTTCTCCACCACCTTCCTGCAGGGGAGACAAAACGGTGTTGGTCCTGCATACCTGCAGCCACACCAATAAGGGGCACATCTAAAGGCAAGTTGCAAAGCAACCAGAAATTGTTAGCAACTGTAATGGCAAAGTATTACAAAGCCAGCAATTTCAAGTAAATGTGAGAGTAACAGCCTACATCTTCAAAAAACTGGATATCACACTGCAACCAACAAGGAAGTGAACTTGTTCTCAGTTCTGCTCCTGAACACAGAACAAAAAACCCAACACAGCCCATGCTGCTCAGGGATGCTACAAGCATCAGATCATCTGCATGTTCCAGAAGGGAGCGCACAGCGTTGCAGCTGCAAGCCTACAGCTCAGCCAGCAACTGAAACACAAAACACCCCACATTCTGCACAACGCAGACTGAGGGATACCTCCTCCACTGACTGCTTCTATATGTAAGGTGGTAGCCGGTGGTAAAAGCTGATTCATCTCAAACAGCTAAAACACCCAACTCACCACGCAATCAATTTTAAGATTCGGTATTAAAAAAAATGAAATAGTTATGGCATCTGCTAGCGCATCAGTTTCTCAGTTATCACCACAGCAATTTCTGAAGCACTGCTGAGCAGCAACAGGTGTGTTTTATCTCCTTGTTTGCCTTACTCTGCCACCTCCAAAACAGTGAATCCAAATGCGGTGGGAGCACTGAAAATGAAAGAAGGACGCAGGATTTTCTCGCTGCCAAACCCGCATCCTCCCCAGGTTCACCTCCCTTCCCCTGGCTGTGCCTATTGAAACGCACAGCAAGCGAGAAATAGCAAACCCAAGCAGATGGAGGACTGCCCAAAAGGCCTCACGCCGAGCGATGCCCAAAATGCGGCGTTCTGTATCACACCACCTCATCGCTGATTTACTGAGCATGCAGAAACTGACTGCGGGTCTGTTTGCTTGATTTTCTCTGACAAAAGAGACGCAAAACCAAAAGGCTCTCGCCTAACAGAGAGAACCCTCTAACTTGCTTTAACAAATCAGTTCTGCGGGTGCTTGGCCTCTCTTTCCCACGTAGCATGACTCCAGTGACTGAGCGTATGCATCTCTGGTAAAGGCTTTTATGCACTCGTGCAGCACGCATCCCTGGCACACAGTGGCTAAGCCCGCAGACCCAAAAGCACGGCAAGCTTCCCGGGGAACGCCGCTGCTCACCGTCACTCCCCCTTAAAACAAGCAACAATTTGACTTCAGTGCTGATCTTCATGCGCGCAGAGCTTAGTTAGCGAGTAAGGGAACACAGAAACAAGAAGTAAAACCGCCGCAAAACTAAGCCTCGGTGTCCGTACCCCCCGCCCCCCGAGCCGGTGACTCACACTCCGAGCTGTGCCCCCCGGAGCCCTTCACAGCCCTACCTGGACTGCGCGGCCATGGCGAAGCTCACGCCGCCGGCCCCGCCGCCTCCATGGGGCCCTCCCGCAGCCCCACGGCCGCGCTACGCCCCGCAGCGCCTCATCTCTCGCTCTGCCCTGAGCTGCCCGGCCCGGGTTGGGTTACGCTCATCCGGGCCCTCCTCCGGCCCGCCGCATTCCCCGACGCCACCGAGGGCGCGGCGGCCACCTGCGGCCCGAAGGGGCGGTACGGCCGCGGGGCTCCGAGAGGCCCCGTCGCCGCGCGCCCGCCGACGGACGGGGCCGACGCTCGGCCCGCGGCCCCCCGCCGCTCCCCCCTCGCTCCCCCCCCTCTCCAGGCTCTGTGGTACGGCCCGCAGCCCGTGGTGGAGGCGTGGGGCGGGCCGAAGGGCTGAGCGGGGGGAGGTGGTTAAAAAAAAAGAAGGGAAAAACGAAATACGAGCTCCCGAAAGCTGTCTGTCTGCGCTTCGCCAGGCTGGAACCTGCTTTTTGTTGGAGAAAATTGTGAACATTGCATCCTAAAAGGCTTCTTGTCTCCTATAGCAAACAGCCAGGCTGCACCGCCACGGAATTCCTCTCAGACTTCCCGAAGCGTCAGCAGGACACAGCCTTCCCCACATACTTTTTATTCACGCGCTGGGGATAAAGTTTCAGCTTTTTTGAGCCCTTGCCTCTGAAAAGTGTGCCCCAAATGAAGGAAACAGTCTCCATGAGGTAGAATGCAAAGAGATCAATAAAATGTGACCTGTCACACTGAGGAGTGCATCCCTGAGGTGAATAGTGTTGAGGATGCACCATTCCTTAAAAACATCTCGGGCAAAGGTTTCAGGTTGAGTATTAGAAAAAATTCTTCTCAGAAAGAGTGGTGACGCAGTGGCACAGGCTGCCCAAGGAGGTGGTGGAGTCGCCATCCCAGAGGTGCTCAAGAACCATGCAGATAAGGCACTGAGGACGGCGTCAGAGGACACGGTGGGAGTGGATTGGGGTTGGACTTGGTGATCTTAGAGGTCTTTTCCAACCTTAATGATTCTGTGATTCATAACTTCACACAGGCGAGCACAATGCAATGTGTTGAGCATGAAGCAGCAATGGTTTCACTGTGCTGAAAAGAGCTGGCCTGGCCTGGCATGGGGTCTACAGCATTGTCGAGGGTCTCTGCTCCTATAGCAGCATGAGCATGATCTCTTGGCTTGCCAGAACAACCCCACCATACCCACAGCAACCAGAGTGCAACTTTTGGGTTGATGGTCCATTGCATTTGTGGGATAAATCTCAGAAGCTTACACTACTGTCAAACAGTTGAGCAAGCATAGAGGATAAATGCAGTAGATGCCACACGGTATTAAAGTAATTAGACATTGGCCTGTAAGCTTTCCTGAAGTATCACATTTGCTGTAGAACACAACAAGTGCTTGTTTATCCCCAGAAATAGGTCAGCTTCATGCCCTTACCAACCTTTTCCAAACGTCTCATTATATGGTACCACACTGTGTTTTTTTAAACAGTCACACACCCTTACTTTCAGCCTTCAAGAGGCACTGCGCTCTTTTAATTAAAGCACGTCCTCCCAGCTCTGTTGACAAGAAATCACCATTGCCACTGATGAATCCTCCACATCTGAAGGTGAGAAGGGTCACACATGCACTGTGATTCTAGGCTGTGATTCCAGACGTGTGAAGCAGCAGAGCCTTTTTATTTGCAGAGAGGACTTTTGCACCAGGTCAGAAGGCAAAGGCTGCCGCAGACTTACAGGAGAACCCCTAACAGTGCAGCTCTGGAGCACCCCTAGAAGCCAGTGCCCTCCTGCCCTGCTCCTTCTCATCACCTCCACAGAAAAGTGGAGGCTGCGGCCTGCAGAGGGGTTCATCCTTAAGGAACTGCTCATGCTCTGGCAATCCCAAAGCATATACAAACTTGGCAAGGGCTTGATATTCTCCTGTCTTCCCCCAGCCCTATCTGCAGAAGCAGCTGTGCAACACACATGCATTGCTGCTGTAAAGCACAGGCTGCAACACCACGCTACACAGTGTTTCACAGGCTTCACATGTGCAGGGGAAAGGAGATGATAGATCTATCTTTCCCCTAAACTCCTGTCTCCAATGTACAGCTGGAAAGCAAGTAAAAGCTAGAAACCCAAACATAAAAGCATAGACAAAAACCAGTTTAACAAGGCAAATCAAGCTGCATGCTGTGGGCAATGGCAGGAGTCTAGACCAAGCTCCTCTCCACAGGCTTTGCTTTATAGCACCTTCTTAAACTTAGCACTTCCAGATCTCCATCTGGTTGCCAGCAGCACACCCTTGCTGGGCAAAGCATGCAAAACACTCAGCACCAGGTCTCACCCATGCTGCACGGCTACAGAAGCGATGGGGGAAAGGTAAACCAGCACGGCACTGAAAAAATGGGAGGGGAAGAACATAACCAGAAGGTTATGTTTGCTTTAAGAACAGGAGGCCAAGATGCATGCAGCTTGTTATGAAAAAAAAAAAAAAAAAAAAAGAAAGAAAGAAAAAAGGGTATAGCTGTTAAAAATGAAACATTTCTGAGAACCAAGGGGAAAGTAATCCTATGTGCTTCAGTGTTTAAATGAAAGGAAACAGACTTTAAAAGAGAAACCACCTCATCCCACAAACAAGACTGCACTGGAGGCTGTACCCGATGAGATTTTGGCAGCCATCAGGAGGAATTTCCATTATCTCCCCAGGCACTACTGACTTATCACTGTTAATGTCTTCAAATGTTCCACCACCAGTAAGAACTTTCACAAACAGTTAAAGTTAGAAAGAGGTTTATAGTCCTTGTTGGCTTTGGCACTGAAACTGTCAGAAACCACACTGTGCAAGGGTGTTAAATATCCTGATTTATATTCCAATTGAACCAAGATAACATCTATGTATAGAACACAATGTACCCTTCAGATTCACTACAGCTGTCAGATTCATTTTGCAGCAATATCCAATCCCCAGATGAGGCAGTGAGGTATGTAGGACACCAAGAAACTAAATGCCTGTGATTTTGGTTTGGTTTTGACCCGGCTGTTATGCATTATATTCCAGAATTCCAGAAAGTGGATTTTTTTAACCAATTCTTCATAGTTATATTGACAATTATTTACATTATTGACAATTAAACAAATATTTATGTATGAATACGTCTTTTGGAGAATGGCAGCAGAGGAAGTGCAGGAGGATGGTTTGAATCTCATCAGTACCTGAGTGTCTGTTCACCCATGCCTTTCCCATATGCAGCAATCACTGTTCTTTCGTGCCTCAGGACAGCGTAACAGGGGAAAAGATCACAGAACTCTGCTATGAGGGTAAAACATATTGGCAGCCAAAGAGAGCCATGTTGAAAAAGCAATGGGAACTGCAGGAAAATGACTCCAAAAAATCAGTTTTGCAGGTTTGGCTTCTAAGGGAAAACCCTTCTGCCCCACCCAATCGCTGTGATGCTTGCACTGAGTTTTCTACTTAAAAAAAATATATAATCTAATAATTAGTCCAAGTATCCAGGAAGATAGGAGAACACCAAATTAATTCCTACCTGCGATGTGGGATGCTCTCTTTGCCTGGAGATGCCATAGCTGTCTTTCTGCAGTCAGTTCATCTGAAAGAGAAAAAAGAGATACTGAACATCTTGCAAAACAATAGCACATTGTACCCAGCTGATGCCACCCAAGCTTTGCTTGAACAGTCAAAGACCAACCCAGGAACATCCTTCCTCAAGATCTGAACAGAGAGGGAAATAGGAGAGCTAAAGAAGTAATGTGGCATGTCTTCAGGTTCTGAAGTAGTAAGTCATGACAATGTAGTGATGTCCAAAATGTTTGTCATGCTGACCAGAAAATGAAATCTGAATGCACATTTTCTTTCTCTCTCTCTGTGCTCTGCATTTCAGTTTGGATTTGTGTTACATCCAAAATCTGTTTCAAATTAGTTCTCCAAAACCATTTGGAGACACAGTCCTCATCATCCCCTCGCATATTTTCATAACTGTGTGAATCCCTTGATTCTCCCTGGCAGCCTAAATCGTCTCTCATGGAATCATAGAGTCATTGAGGTTGAAAAAGGCCTTGAAGATCATCTAATCCAACAGTCTACCTACCACCAATACTGCCTACTAAATGATGTTCCTTAGTACCATATCCCCATGGTTCTTGAACACCTCCAGAGGTGGTGACTCCACAACCTCCCTGGGCAGCCTGTGCCAGTGCCTCACCAATCTTTCTGAGAATAAATTCTTTCTAACATCACAGATCACAGAATTGTAGGGGTTGGAAGGGACCTCTAGAGGTCATTGAGACCAAGCCCCCTGCCAAAGCAGGTTCCCTACACCAGGTCGCACAGGTAGGCGTCCAGGTGAGACTTGAATATCTCCAGAGAAGGAGACTCCACAACCCCCCTGGGCAGCCAACCTGAATCTCCTTTGGCACATCCTGAATTTCAGTGATGTTCAGAACGACGATGGTGTGAAGTAATGCCCAACAAAAAGGTGAGGTGTAACCTGATGAATGGATGCTTACCCCAAGCAGCAAAACATCTCCTTTTTTTTTGTAACAGACAATCTTTGCATGAAAACCACTTGTAGGTTAAGAGGCTGAATTCTAGGCAAGCTTGTAAATACTGGACTGTTCCTGTGAGTGCATCTGTTGGTTTCAAAGGGACCTTTTAGAGCCACAAGCATCCATTATTGTGGACTCAGCCAAGTGTGTGCCAACCAAGACTATGGCTCCAGGTTCAGCTGTTGAATTTAAGAACAAACATGCCATGAAGGCACTCCCTTTAGACACCCAAACTGCCTGCTGGTGAGCGGAAGCATTTGTGGAAAGGAAAAGCAGTATTAGAAGAAAATACAGCTATAGATGAAAAGGTAACACAGAAAAATTACTTCAAAGCCTAAGCATTCAGGAAGCAAGGAGGAAACAGAAGGGGAAGGATGTTGCAGTAGTTATTGCAAGAGACTGCCCCTTATGCCACTGTAACGGCAGTTCTGAAATCATAGAGCTACAGAACTGTTTGTGCTGGAGGAAACCATTAAAGGCCATCTGATCCAGCTCCTCTGCAATGAACGGAAACACCTACAGCTTTCTTCTTTGACGTCA